AAGTGGTGCTAGTATTTTGTAAGACATAGAGAAGATTGTCGCCAAGGGAAAGGATTCCCACAGAGCTGTGATATCGAATATCTAGGGCAGTGACGGATAGTTGGTAATTGAATGTTCAGCAGAGGGAGAGAGAAAGCTATCGGGCTAAGTCATAATAATATTAACAATGCTTTATTGGAAGATTTTGCATTACACGCCAATGACACAACACAATAGCACTTGAAAATATATTAACAATAACAAAGTGTGTAAGGTTTACCATACTGCACAATAAAACTTTTACAATCGAAGGGTGCATAAGAAAAAAGGTGAATGAAGGAAGAACAGATTTTAAAATTTGAAGGTTTTCACAATATTTGCTTAAAAATGCATTGGGCTCAAATATTTTTTCTGAATACCTAGTAGCATAGATTACTTTTATAGCAATTATTGGGTGTTTAGGTTTATTTTTGTAGTTACAAAGAATTTATTTGGTGTTACTCGACATAGGATTGAGTGGGAGAATAGAGTAATTTTGTATAAACAACATGCTAGGAGATGTCTTTATTTAAAAAAGCATACATTTTCATTTTAGGTATAATGCAGTACCAGTCAACAAATGTGGTAAACAAAAAATTAAGAACAGTGCAAGCTTAAGACAAGCTCCTAATAAACAAATAATTTAAATAAGCCATTTTTATTAAGACGTGGGAAGATAGTGGTAAATTTAGGTACAACTTGTGAAAATACTTGTATGATTTACAATTTTTGTTTAACCGATTCATGTGTCCAGCAATTTAATCAGGGTAGTCGAATCCGTATCAAAAAATTAAAAAAGAATGTGTTACACGATTAGTGGAACCTATCAAAACAGTTACCGCTTGATATTTAATAAGCCATTATTAAAGGCTAATCTATGGTTGGAAATTAATCAGAACAGCCTATTTGATGGATGAATTGTTAAGTTAAGGAGCGAAATCGCGGTATTGTTTACGTAGTAAGTACGTTTAATAAAATTAGTTCAATAAATATCGCGTTTAAAAGCGTTTATTAGCTAAAACAATCCAACGAAATTGTTTGACGATAAATTGTGATATTTTTAAATTCGCCTTTTGTGTGACCTCCATGAGATGATTTGCTTGGTTAGTGGAATAGAACAATTTTTGTTCGTACGTAGGAATACATACATCGCAATAATTGTCAATGGGAATATGTATTGTTTAAGAATGAGATTCGAAATCTAGGCTTCTATTTTGAAAATTCTTTAGTTATTACAGTATTACAGAACCATCTAAACTAAATCTAAATCTAAATATCTGGCAAAGTCAAAAGGAAATATAACAACAAGTGTTTATTTTTTTAAATAAAAGAGTGACTTAAATAGTTCACCAAAAGTGTTGCATACTATATTTTTTCTACGACCGTTAGTTTTTGGGTGAATTTTTGCAAAACAACACGAATACATTCATTGATATGATCGTTAGAATTGACGTAAAAATTCAAGCTCTGAGGAGATTGCTCCTAAACCCGAAGGATACGTCGGAAACAAAACTGACGTGGTAAAATGAAATTTTACGCCCGCTAGATCGGCGTAAAATTGGGCATTTTAAAAAAATAAGATTAGCAGCATAATATACCTACTAGTAATTTAACGTAATATTAGTATAAATCACAGTGTAACCAGAAACTCTGACGAGTACTTTAGGAATATTCGTTATTTTTGCCGCTGTATCGACAATTTCCGTCAACCTGAGACACTTGAGACACCCTGTTTAATTCATCCCTGACTGCCGCAACATTCACAGTCACAGGAAGCAATAAATACAAAATTTAATATAATAACAAAAGCCGAACGTGGATATGTTTTATAATTTTTGAAAAGAACTTATTTCCAAAAATATTGTTTTTAAAAGTTTGGTTTCATTTTAATTAATGCTTCACTGACCAGTAAACACATTTGTTTTCTGTATTGTGACTTTCCTATTAAAAGACACTTGTTCAAAGTTGGCAAACAATTAAAAACCCTGTTGTATACTGAAGTGGACGCCAACGATCCAAAATTATAAAAGATGTCCAATATAAAAAAAAACGATTTTTCTATTGATAAACTATTAGTTTAATATGCTTATCATTAAATCCTAAGTAAAATTTTTTGTTTGTTTTTTTTTTTATAAAAATGCAAAATTTTCCATAGTAAGAAAGTTACTGCGGTTATTAAAATATGCACTTTTTCGAAAACACCCTACAGTGCGGTTACATATTTTGAAAATTGTGGAAAATTGAGCCCAGACAGGAGGGACACTGGCCTTTTAAAAGTGTCCAAATTGATCCACTCTGTACGTAACCTTTCACAGGAGCACTTTGGCGGCCTCTTTGGAGTTCTTTTTCCTGTTAAGTCACAAAAATATATAAAGCTTTGTAGTTCTGTTTAAGGTCGTATCCTGTCGCTGCTTTCTGGTGGAGGTTTAGATTACCGCTGAAAAACTGGACTAAATAAACCGTTTTTGATTTTAACTACGTTGTTAGTTAATTAAACATTTGTATTCATACATATATTCTGTACTAGGAACTAGGACAAAAATTTTGCTATGGTGAAATTTAGCAAAATGTAAGGTAAGCACAAGTTTTCAGTGACAAGCATTCAAAAAATCGTAGAACAAAGTCAACATCATTTCAACACCAATTTGATTGAGGCCAGCAAAAACATTTTAATCTTTTGGTCGTAATAATTTTTTGGAAATTAAATTTCTACCCAGTACTTATTTGATGTTTAGTTTTTCTGAAAAATTTTTTAGGAGAACAAAATTTTTGCATGTATTTAGGAGAGAATTTTTGTCATGGCATATAGTTAAACAGGAAAAGTAAGACCAAAAAAAATTTTCCAGGCAACAAAACGTTTATAGCAGCATGTGTTAAACCTGAGCTTAACCAATAACCGAGGTAGCACTTGCCGCAAAGATAATCCTATAATCTCCTCCAAGAGTAATGTACGTGGGTATTATAAACGGAAATGTTTAACAATGGCTCAGATATAAGGTTTCCGTTGTTGCTGTAATACTAACGACAAATTATTTTTTTTATGTTTATTTTCTGCATAGTAATGTTCTTTCAGGAAAAACAATTAAAAAAAAACTATTTTCGCTGCAATTTACTGCAAGCGATGAGATGAAGATTTTAAAAAATTGATAGGAAAACGATGTTGACGTGGTAAAGCGGTCTTGGATCGCATGAAGTGAGACAGTAAGATGCTTAATTTTTTGGGCATGCGAGCCCAGTATCTTCTTGTGTTGTAGAATTGACATTGTATAGTGCGGAAATGACAAAATGTTGGATGAAAAAGTTAATATTTTAAATGTATGTACAGGCACATATTTTAAATGTCTCACTTGAAATAGCTTTCCTATTTGCTTTTTTCATATTATGTGAGACGTATTCTGTGTAAATTTTGACAAAGAAGTCAGATGGTTTTCGAGGTAAATAAATCCCTCTGCATTATTTTCAGTCTACACCAATACTTCCGTTCTGAACTCAAAGGGTTTAGTTCGTCAATAATTGAAAGTCATTTTAAGTGTGCCTCACTCGAAATAGAATCTCTCCTAATTTTAAAATTTGGAATCAAGAAGTAAACAAAACGCTGTATATATTTATCTCTGGACAAATTCTTTCGTTAATAACCAAAAATCATTTTGCGTGTACGTACAACTATTTTCTAAAAAGCAAGGGAAAAGAAATTAAAATACAGAGGCCAAGTCCAAAAAATGAATTTGGGCCATTTGAAATTATATATCTTGTATTCCACAATACCTCTCAACGTATTAATAGTTAAGTATCCTTGTTATGTGACACCCACTCTATATCCACAACGATCGGTTAGAAAATTAGTAATATTTTAGAATTTAGAATTTAATCATCTATTCAGTAATATTTTGATTTATCGACGGTTTGTTTCCCTCAAAAACCAAGATGGCGTCACATACATTGACATATGATATCAGAAGTTATATAGAAAACGTATTTTCGAATTTCAAAATAGTAAATAGAGAAGGTTGTTTTTTGAATGAGATGGTTAAATTGATTTTCGACTATCTCACCTTTCTGTATATTCAAAACTGATCGTTCAAGGAAGTTAAAACCAAACCTTACATTTTTGAATAGAGAATACAGAGATCTTTTTAGATGGCGTAGTATCTCTGACATTTAAGAAATATATAGACCTTAAGTTGAGTTTTACGCGAAAAGCTACATAAAAAATATCTTAACATTTTAAAAATAACAAATAGGTATGTTTTTACTTCAAGTGAAACACTTAAAAGGATGTCCCTGTACATAAAATACCATTACCCGAATTTTACTGTACAAGAAACTGTCGAGTGATATTCCCAATTGGTTTCAGTGAAACTTCCTAAGAAAGACCAGGCAGACTAGGAAAAATATTTGATGAAAACATCAAAAACTGTAATTCGAAGAAGAGTTCACATTTATTCTGTTGATAACTACAAAGCTTTTATGGGCTACTTTAAAAAATATTGAATTTGCCTGGCAAAACCGTAACCATAAATCACTTTAACTCAAAAAAGATTGAATTGTTTGCTGGCAATGAAAATACTTGAGAAGTATACAGCAGTATGCAGAGCAGCAGAGAATCTTATCTTGATCAGATCAGACGCAGATTAATGAAGGTCATATAATATCCATATAGTATCAAAAATATGATAAAACAAAAATATAAGCAGTCCCTGCATACCTAATGAGGTTTTATTACTCTCTGCCATTCTGAAATAGACTATATACATCTTTACTATTCCCGCTAATTATAAAAAAAGCAAAACACGAGCACGTAAGATGGTGAAGCGCAATACTAATGATTTATTTAGACCACGGGAAGAGTACAGTGGCGCAAGAGTTACGGTGGCGGTAGCGGAGCGGCGGTGTCAAGGGTGCTCCAGGTCTGCGTCGCGACGCGCCGCCTCCCGGCGTCGCCTCCAGCTTTACCGCCACAGCTCCTCAGTCGAGCGCGGGCCCCGGATCATGACGTTTAAGTTCGTATTTACCGGCGTCCATATTGGGACTGTTTGCACCGTGGTCATAATATAGTACGTATAGCTGGGACAAGGATATCCGCCGTCACAGCCCTAAAGTGGATTACATTAGGGGTGAAGGTAGGAATCAAATAAATCTAGACCGAAATTGTAGAACTTTTTAATGAAGGGGGGATAGATTTTCTATAAATTATTATTTTTAAAATGAAAAAACTCGGGTGTCTCCATTTACAATATACGGGCGTTACCTAAAGTTCAACAAATTTGATGAAACCCATGACGCGTTTTTTTTAATAATTCACCCTAGACGCATACGTTTTAAATTTGTTTGTTTTTTGTTTTTTCCTTCATTTTGAAAAACTCTTGTCGATATATAAAAATGTGATAGATTCGAATAATTGAATAAAAAACTAAGGCAATATTTGCTATTAATAATAATGTAGACATTTAATTTCCAATAAAAGGAGGATAATTTACAAAAACAAAGATTAAATTTAACAAATTCACAATAAAGGTGCGTGGTGACTTATGCAGAAAGAGCAAAGAACTGTGTGCCTATTTGTGTGACAGTTTTTATTTTCGGTTCACTAGATCTTAGAATGTAAAACATTGGATGTGAAAGTAGGCATTCATGAATTTTCTGGTAATATTTTAATATCATTCTATAGCAAATTAGTGGCTTGTAACTATTACGTTCCTTGTGTCATATAAAATAAGGTGTCAATTGAAAAAAGTCACTTTTTAACAAATTTTAATTAAAGTATAGAGGTAAATTATAAGTTACATAAGTTATCATAATTAACAAGCTAACTTCATATTTGTCGTTTGTGTTACTACATTTATTTTAAATTTTTATTTAAATTTACAAATTTTGCTTGCGATACATTGTATTATGTAGGTAAGCTGGAAATACTAATATTTAGCAACTTCAAAAATCGGAGTAACCTGAGCTTTAAATTGATTTATGAAAATTAACGGATATCTAATTTTTTTCGAGTTCATTAATCGAAGATGTGATGCTGCTGTTTGGTGCCTAATGGTATATATTTAATGTCTGGTAAGGCTCTTTCCACACTATGTCGAACGACAAGGGCTATAGACAAATTTCTGTCTGCACAACTTCGATTCGTCAACACTCACTCAGTTTGTGTGGACGTGTTGACCTACGTATATCGGCAAGCCTAGTGATTTTTTTTGTCAAACCCCCTTCTGACATTCCTAGGGATAATATGAAAAACATCTCTCAAAATATAGATATTTCTCTCGAAAACATCATAATTTTTTGTTCTCGACTGATTCTCTTTCTTTCTTTCTCTAGCAAATCTGGTTTTCTATTTTTTTTAATCTTTTTATCAATATTTTGTTTTTCAGTGGTAAACAAAACGGTAATCTCAATCAGCCAATCAGCCAAATACATTTCAATGAAATAGATGATTTGTTCTTCACTTGAATTCATAACTTGATTTGGTTAACAGACTAAACAACTAAAATAAAATTAAGATATAAATATAAAACATATATAATAAAGATATAATATTAAATATGTATAGTACACTTCAAAATAAATTTAATTTCACTTTGGTTGAAGAGAAATTAATATGACCGATTGTACCAGCTGAAATGACATGCAACACGTTTGGCATTACTTCGACTTCCTTTGACCCGTACTAATTTGATTCGGTTCCCTTCGATTCGACCAGACATTGTTAGACATGTCCGGCTACACGTCCGCACGGAATCGACATTATCGATCGACATAGTGTGGACAGAGCTTTACCCGTTTAACGTAGTTGTATTATTAATTATCATAATATTTTGCGAACTTCGTCTAGTGCCCAGATCACAAAGATATTTGTTGATACTAAAATGTTATTAACCTGTCTCAAAAATATTTTACTACTTGGAATAAGTAGGCAGTAAACGAATACATATGTATTGGAGGCTTGCAAATTGTGACTTTAGCTGTAAACAATTCAAATTTTAGTTTAGTCTTCCGAATAAATGATATATGAAAATGCGTCCTGTAAAAGCCGTGAAAAATGCAGAAACAGTAAGCAATGTGTACCACGACCAATCTCCTGTAAAAAAACGGATATTTTCGAAAGATTGCCGTACAAACTAATTTATAATATTCAGTTTGATGAGAAAAGACCAAAAGTCTACACTTCAAATTAGGAAAACTAGTGACAATAAATAGTGGTTTTAGGATCCATTCAAAATAACACAAATACGAACCTCATTGTACCAGAAAAGTGGCATGACCTCGACTGCATGCGGTTTTTCGTTAATTTCATAAAGATTTTTGAAAGAATAAACCTCGGATTAAAGTAAAACCTTGAGCCTTTATAGGCGAAATCACAATTTGACACATACCGACGCATTTGTCGTCTAGATTTTTTCGAAGAAAACACACATAAAATAATTTATTAGGTTGTGTAATGTTTTATTTTTTGGAATTAATTAAATAATACGAAAATCAAAAGGAAACCCTAGACCATCTATATTTTAAAATTTCACTTCTTATGTTATTGTTATGATTGATTGATATGGTTAATTTTATGAAGGGTAAGCTACCATGAAATAGCGTTGTATAAGTAAGTGTAATGCCAATTTCCCAAATAAACTCCTACTAGTACTATACTAGTACTATTTACGAAACTTCTGGATTGGCTAAACGTTAGCAAGTGCGACTCAACAATAATCGAAGCAAGAGGAATCCAGGAGTTTTGTAAATAGTAACTGCGATGCTGTGGTTCCAAAAATAAAAAGTCGTGATCTTTCGTGAATTTTACGATGAGTTTTCATGTGGAGCTTTGATCTAAGGCGGGTCTTTAAAAAGTACAGGGTGTAGAATTTTGTTTTTTTTTAAATTCTTATTCAATTTTGACAACTGTATTTAAGCGGCTATGACCGTTATTTACTTGATGATAGGGAAAATTCTAAATGAAACATTTCCTTACTTGGCGTGTAACAAACTAATAATGTTTTAGGATAAACTAGTTTTTTCTAATAATATATCATTATGGAAAGAAACATTTTTTAAAACCGATACTTTCATGCGTTCCCAATATAACAGAAGCATATAAAATTTTTCTCCATTTGTAAATCTGTTTCTACGACAATTACCTACTTTACGAGGTTCCATGTTTTGGACATCATTTCTGAAAATTTCCTGCATTGTCTTCTACTTTTATGCTACTAAGTACTAAATAACATATAATAATTTTAAATACATTATATGGAATTCCAACAGGATTCCGGGCAATTACAGCGAAGTCAAATTAGCATTCCGTGTGGTGCCTTCTAAATATACAGGGTGATTCGATTTTCTGTTCTGCCACCAACTTCTGGAGATTTTTATATAATAACTTGCTAACTCTTCTCTCCCCCTCGGGCATAATGAATTCAGAACTCGTAATCGGCTGCCCCTAGTGGTGCGCAACTGCTTAATAGCTCCAATTAAATATCTGTTTATTTATCTTATGCGATAGTTTCTCTCAAAATGTGCGATTATGCAGGGTGATTCAGTTTTCACTAGAATAACTTCAGGTATCGATAGAACTAATCGAAATAATTATTATTAGTTATAAACTATACTCCATGGGGGTAAAGTGGCGCCAAAGTTTGAATAATTTTTTTATTTTAGTGCTCAGCCAGGGGATCTAAGCGCACAAAGACAATGTAGCTATCATGCATGAAAAAATTTATTTATAATTGCTATACAGGGAGTTGTTTTTGTATGTGTCAACTGCACGGAACTTTGTAGAACTACATTGTCGCACGTCACTGAATAAATCTGTATTTTTTTCCGATACGTTCTATCGTTTTATTAACTTTTTCCTTTTTTAATTTTTAAAAATATTTTTGATAAACAATGTAGTGTTGTAATTGAAAAAAAAAACGTCACTACGCTTTCTAACGCTAAACAAAAATAATTGCAATAACTGAAAACTGATTTTTTATATTTAGAATACGTGGAATCGCCTATAGAAGCTTAAACAGCAAGTAATGTTTCCCGTTCAAGGTTTTAGCGCTTTTGGAAAATTTCCAAATTTTATTAGAATCTTTAGCGATGTATAAACGAACGTGACCAATCAGTCAAAAAAATCAATTCTTTGTTGGAACTCGTATACATTTATTGCCTGAACGGTCACCGTGTTGATGTGATTGACCTTTTCCCATACTCGTCTAATACTCATAATTTTGTGTTTTACTGAAAGCTTGTGACATTTTGTTCGTTGCCGTTTTTTTTATTTTAATAAGGTAGTAAAGGTATTAAAGAATAGACAAATTATTAATTTACATATAAATCACAAACGGGCTCAAGCTTTGTTAAAAACATATAAGGCGTTTCTTAATGGCATATCAACACCGAACGGAACAATTATTGAGCTCATTTTAAGAAAAGAAACATGAACGTGAAGTTCTTAAGTTTTTAAGTTCAGGGTGATAAATTTTTGAGGAAAAAATCTCTTTTATGCAGTGTGGTCCACACTGGATGGACCATTAGAAGATAGAAGATGAGATGTCCTATCCCTCTAAAATATTTTTAAGTGCGCATCTCTTTTTTTAGAGTCGACTCACGAGATAAAGTAGATTCTGTTCAGGTATCCTTATCATTCAGAGCAGTTGTGCAGTTACATCACGTATAGTGACGTAATCGTAAATGATCCTTGTGTCTTAGCTATATTGCCACCGTAACCATAAATAACCATTCCAAAACTGACAAATAAAATTCCTGTGTTCATTTACGACATCGATAAATATGTCATGCTATGATGTAACTGACTGGACTTTACTTGTTTTACCGTTATCGAAATAAAAAATAATTTTCTGCGTTTTAAAGCAATTTCGACACACACGAACAAATATTAATAATTCTGTATTTTAATTGAGCAGATAGCCGAAATTTTGCAGACAGTTTCTGAAAGGGTGTTTTGAAAATATCATTTTGTAGGGGAGTTCAAGACAAACGGTACATCGATTATTTTTAATTACACACTCTTCATATTCTTTCATTATCGAATTCTAGGAAAGAAACTAAATTAGCTTTATTCAAGTTTCCCTTCCCTCTACTCTTACCGTCTTTGAAATAAAAATTAATTCCATGATTCTTAGGTAATATCAATATGGAACACCGTCATTTCGAAGAAAGTTTCACACATAGACAGAATGAACTTCTTAAACCTCATTTTCAATTAATTTTAGTTTGTTTATAACTATATTTCCCATTTTGTATAAGGCAATAAATCAATCGATCAAGACAAAATATTTCTGATCGAGCTCCAAAGACATATTTGTTTTTATTAGATTATTAAAAGGGGCTAAAATTAAATGAAAATGAGTTTTTACGAAGTTTATTTTGTCTATGTGAAACTTCCTTCGAAATGATGTTGTGCAAAGTATGTATGTAAAGATCATAAAAAAAATTATTTCAAAAACGGTAAGAGACAAAATTGGGTTAGTTTCTTTCCTAGAATTCGATTGCAGAAAATGTGCTATTTACACAAAAAAAAACTCAATAAACCGTGTTTCTAAAGTTTCCGTGCAGAATCTTATTTCAAAATTGCACGGTCTGTTTCAACTAAAATGGTATGCCAGGAAAGAATGCCTGAGCCCTTCCAAGAACTATCTGGAAAAGTTCTGCTTTGTGTTTAATTAAAGCAGGGAACTATTAAGATTTTTTCAAGGGTCCAAAATTTATCAAAAATCTAGGAAATTATTTTTTATTTCGATAAAGGTTACAGTAGGGACCCTTGAACAAAATTTACTTTGTTTTTTGGGTAGAATCTGAAAATGAAATGATATACAAAGAGTTTTTAAACTAAGCAAGATGTTGCCATGTTTATATAGCAGCCACAATGCTGCATACTTGAGAAAATGTATTTGGGTATCAAGAGGCACAAGACTTTTTCAATTCCTATCAGTGGCGCACTTCCGCGATTTTTACCGCATATTTTTAAAATTTGTAAAAAAGGATGGTACATTACTGACATTTTTCAAGCGAGTATTTTCTTTAGATGTTATAAGGACGTACCTGACAGGAAAAAAGTAAGAGTTAACTTATACGGATATAACTAAATGTAAAAAAAATTGAGGGGTTTTCCAAATTTTTTCTTGGAACAGATGCGATGCAAATCATGGACGGATGCCACTAGCAGAAACTAAAAAAAAGTGTTGTGCGCCTGAAAATGTGTTTTGATACATGACAATGGATTTATGCAATTTCACTAAGATATCTAAAATCATATGAAGGTACCAGATATTCATTCAGTGCGAATATTTTACTGGCATATTTATCAGTTAAAAATATGTCTGTTTTTACGTATTAACATGAGTCCTATGTTGGTTTCTCGTTTTCGAGAAACAGAGTGGCAAAATTTATAGAAAAAAAATCGTTTTTTTATTAGTAGAAAACATTTTAGTTGATTTTGGCAAATACAGCTTTGTGACAGCAAATTGTAAAAACGAAAGGAACAAAAAGGTTTCGTTTTTGATTGCTTGGTCTAGAAAAATAGTCAGTAGCGTACCTTAATATTACCTATAGCTGTCAACTAGATCACCCTCTCACACGCCACTGAAATGAATTTTGTTTTAAATAAGCACGCTTATGACGACAAATAAGCGAGCCAAATTTTGTCAAAATCAGTTAAAAAATATTTTAGAGTGATTTATATAAAAAAACAATTTTGACACCCTGTATCTCAAAAATAAAATTAATTGAGACACATATTTATATAAAAACAAAGACCCTGCACATCAAGAAATAATTCTGAAAATCTTATCACCCCGTATCTCAAAAGTTCGTTTAGGACATAGTTTCATATAACATACACGTCATTCGATATCTTAAAAAGTTGCGCGTTGAGCTTTTTATATCCCTGGATCTATAATTTCGTAGCGGATCTCATGGATCAAACAACAAAGTCCCAACTGAAAGTGTTAGTAATCAAAACTAAAGCTTCTTTTATAAGTTTTTCTCCTAATTTGAATTGGATTATGGGTTTTTCGGTCAGCTGTCAAATGCGGTGTCCAAAAATGACTATGCAATGACTGCCAATTTTCCTTTGTTTTCAAATATTTTTGTCGTCAGCTGTTACCGGCTTAAAAAAACATTAAATTTTAATTTATAGTGTGACCCGCTACATGTCGAATCCGCTTCAGAGTCCCGAAGCTTCGTCCTTCCCTCAAAGTCCCAAAAATGACAATCGAAAGATGTTTGACTCGAAACGACCGGTGTCGTACCCGTGCGGTCCGGAAAGCCACCACGTGGTTCCCGACGTATTTGGGAAAGAACCGAATCTCTCGAAGAGGTTTTCGAGTGACCCGCTCAAACCGCCTCCGCGGGCCAAGACTCAAGTCAAACCGTTTACCAAGGAGTCGCTGGAGCGCCTCGAACGTAAGACTATGCAACTAGTGCGCGAATACGGTTTCCAACCGAGGAGGAAACTTAGTGTCCAGGACGGGTCGAGGTTGCCGTCCAAGTATGAACCATTCCCTAGGAAACTCTATGGGCGGCCGCTAGAGGAGATTGATAATTTTATCTACGATGAGGTGAGCGCCACAACTAACTCCACAAAATTAATGTGGGAATACGCTGTTTAATAGTTATAGTCTCTTCTTATTTACTGTAGGTCCAGAAATTTAAGGAAGGAAGTATTTAATTTATTTACATACAGCTTTACACTACTTAATCGTACACATGCAAATACAGCAAAATACTAAGATACTTACTCATCTGGTAAAACTTTGCCAAGTTCTGATAAAGTAGACTCATTTAGATGTGTTGGTTAGTTTGGTTGCTTTCATAGCCACAGTTGCAAGTGCTACCACTCTGTGGCAAGATAGCGTAAAACTTATGAGTGTGGCAATTGTAACATATAATGAACGCCGAAACTAACAGGGATCCGCCACTTGTAAATGATATTAATGCGCAATTATAAGTGAAAGCTTTCGAATTGGTTTACAGACTTCATCAGGACGCTGAATATGTCGCTTATACCTCCAATGAGGATTGATAATAAAGTGGTCTACAGGTGTAAAACGTAGACTAGACACAAACATTCCGCAAGGCCATAAACACAATGCAAACTACTGAAAACGGTATGAAGTGCCCGATAAGCAATCACTAAAGCTAAATGAAGAAGTGTAAAAAGGACAAGAAACAATATTCAATGTTTTAAAATAAGTTTTCTGACCGCACATTTGAGAACCGATCGTTGTTTCACCGGCTGGTTGACAGCTACATAACTATTCTGCAGTCTATGAACTGTGAGCATTAGTGTCATTTGCCCGCTCCCTCTATTATGTAAGATACGAGAGCATATGAATATGAAAGAAACAAAGTAGAGTAACAATTTTTTTATTATTTTTCAATATAATCCCCCTTAACTTCAATACACCTATTACATCTCTTTATTAACAACTCAATCCCTTTAAAAAAAAAATTCATTTGGTTTGTCTGCAAAATGAGTTAAAACAGCCTCTGTTAACTCAACTTCGCCGTTAAACCGTCGTCCACGTAAGTCCTTTTTCAAATATCCAAACAAATAATAGTCCCTGGGCGCCATATCTGGACTATAGGGAGTCTATCTGTTGGAACCCAGACTCTAAAATGGCAGCTTGTGCAACACCAGCAGTATGGACAGGTGCATTATCGTGCAAAAGACGCACGCCTCTGGTCAGTTTTCGTCGTTTTGCACGTATGCAGTCTCGTAATTTATGTAGTAATGTTGCGTAATATTTACCATTGACAGTGGTATTAGTTTCTTTAAAATCTATGAAAAGAATTCCTTCACAATCCCAAAAGGTCGTAGCCATCACCTTTTTTGTTGACTGGCAGTCTCTGAATTCTCTTGGAGGTGCTTCACCCTTACTACGCGACTCCATTGATTTTTTTTCGATAGAGTGTCATAATAGAGAACCATAGTTTCATTTCTCCGTCACGATAGTTTCTATCACAGGCTTCGGTTCCGACCCACATAGTTCCAAAAAAGACCGCGCACACTCGACACGGCGTTGTTTTTGAATAGCCGAAAGGTTTTTAGGGACCCACCTTCCACTAACCTTATGCATACCTAAATGATCATGCAGGATTCGACGAACACTTGTATCAGAAAGCTTAATAATTTCTGAGATTTCCTTGACCTTTAAACGTCGATCAGTCAATACCACCTCTTCCACAATCGCAACAATATCTTATGACATCCACTGGTCGACCAATTCTTGAATCATCTTCAAGGGACTCCTGTCTCATTCGAAAAGGTTTTGCCCATTCTTTGACTGCAGAATGCGAAGGTGAACTTTGGCCGCACACACCATCCAGCCTTTCTTTAATAATTTTAGGTGCTAACCCTTCTTTTGTCAAAAACTTTATGACTGCTCTATACTCAATTTGCGTTATTTGTGACATTTTTTCGGACACGTCTTGTTTAAAATTCTGTCAATAAAAACTATTTGACATAAGACTTTTTTTTTCCGCAACCTACTAAGATATATATTTAAAAGAACACAAAGTTTTATCGTGATACTGGAGCTGCATCTATGTCAGGCCGGGAAATTTTTGCGCTAACCTCATATAACGGTTAACTTATTAGAAGTTGCAATCATTTTACAATTAGGCTTGAAAATTCTTAGAAAAAGGACGTCGCAAAGTTGTTCCCCACTGCATACAGTTTGAGTATTTGTCATCAATTGCCCTACTCGAATAGCTCCAACGTTTCGAAAAACAAATTGCCATGTTAACTTTTAGAACCCAACAACATTATAGTAAGAACTGTTATAAAGTTGAGACAAATTCGAATCTTTTTTGTTGCTCTGTATCTGGGAAGGAAAAGCATTAACCGCATTTTATTATACTTGGGAGTAGTTAAAAATTGCTTTCCTAGGCTATGGCGTCATCTGACATAATCGCCAAATTAATTTCCTGAAAAAAGTTTAATTTTGGGAAGCATTGTAATGAATATTATTAACGTCTCTTCTTCGACTTACCAAATAAAGCGCTTATTATTCAGCCAATTCCAATGATATTTAAAGTTGAATCGTCATTGAGCTTTATTATTTTTTTACCTCCGAAGGGTACAAAATTACGCACAAGCTGAAATTATTACTATGTTTTGATATCCTTACTCTTCTATTCATTATTATCATTTAATTGTTCATTATAAAGTCACTGTAGTTAGCTAACTAATAAAACTAATAAATTGCTATTGCCCTATTAATTAAAGCATTTAATCAGTAAAATGTCCTGGTTCCATAAGACATTTTTAATGCAATAAACACAATCAAAATAGAACTACTAAAATTTTAGATAAATTTTAAATGACTGTTTCAAATGGCAGACAATCAAGCATGAATGCGTGAATGATATTGAGCGATATTTCAGAAAAAAAAAAGTTTACTTACGGGATACCTTGATAATTGGAAAGGAAAAAAGAGATGGTTTTCCATATTTTACTACGTAAGGAAGTCAATAATTAACAGATGGTCTCCAACAATTTATTAAGTGATAATTCCATTTTTTTTAAAGATCTTAAAATATAGTTATTAGAACTTAGCTAAATTGGGGACAATAAGACATTCGTAGCAACCGGTAAACTTGAATTGCTTTCCGAAATTCAACTTGTTTTAGAATTCTTTTATTCATATTTTAGGTTTAAGTGCCACAGTTTTATAAAATGCTTTAAGCCTTTTTCCAACATCCGCCCCGCCATTTTTCAATTTGTCTCAGTTTTAATTATTATTTTTTCTGAAATGGACGCCTTGAATTTCATATTTGATGCCTAGTAGTTCGTTGAATGTCAGTTTTGGAGCATCTTGAAGTGACATTAAACTGCCCTCGCTATCAATTTCTTATTATAATATATTATATTATTATAGTATGTTATTATTATTTTCAATAATTATTCCGCTATTTTACCGACAGGTCTACTCGTTTGCAAGTAACGGGTTAATTAAGGGGGTTTATTAAGCGAAATAAATTTTATGGGCATAGGCGTACATTGAGAAAGTTTGGCAAGTAATAGAGTACAAGACAGCCCCTTTTTCGAGTATGGCGTTTTTAACCTGGCAGGACAATTATGCATATCAAGTTTCAACGAAATATGTAAAAATTTGCTAGATTTGTAAATAAAAACGTTAATTTTTAAATAAAGCTTAACGCTCTGTATTATAGAAACCGGGTGCTACAATTAAATATGCTATAATAGGAGGAAGGTTAGCGCAATCGAGTGTTTTCTAAGGAAGGTTAGCGCAATCGAGTGTTTTCTAAAGATTTTAAACGCTGATGGTATTTTGAGGTTTGTCAATTCTGACAATAGTTGTAGGCAATATGGGGTTGATAATAGTATTATTTATTTGACACGAATGGAGCGAGTGTTTAATAAACGAGTGAAAACATTGCTCCCAAACCCTTGCGATACAATTCCGGAAATGTCCGAAGTGGCTCAGATCCATGGGAAACGAAACTGACTTGTTAAAGCGACTCGTTTCTCGCACGCTAGATCGGTGTGCAATTAGGTATTTTATAGACGGGAGTAGAGAAACGTGATTAAAGTGACGTGTAACAAATTTGTTGTATAACATGTAAGTTTATTTAATTTGTTATTTGATTAATATAAAGGACTTTAATTAGAATAGTAATGTTTCGATCGAGCGATCATGTTTAGTATCCATTTGGATTTGCTTTTACATTTTTTCGCCCGTCTCGGATGTAGGTCATGTCAAGTTTGAATTTAACACCCGTCCGCATGGAGATTGTCAGAAAGTGGGGCACAACAAACCATTCAAAGTCAATTTATAGAATTTTATGCAGTTTCTATATTCATCGCAGCGATTTCCAATTTGTTCCGTTCCGACGGTCCGAAATGTGCGTTAAATTCCGGATATAAAATCCGTTGTTTAATTTTTAATTGGTTTTAGCGTAATGCACTTTATTTTTTGTTGCCTACAAATAAAATGGGATATCAGTTCATATTTCGAGAATAACATGTTGGTTAATTTTTTATTCAAAATGCGTATAGAGGTAAAATTACCATATAAGCTGAGTTGCGGAAAATATTTGGCAAGTTTGGTATATGACAACAAGAGTTTTTTTTTTAAACTGTTTCAATGAAGCTCTGAAGAAGTCAATAGGATGATTGGCATGACGTCAGCAAGTTCGACTTAGCAAAAACCGATGCAGTAGGAATCCAGAAATTTTGTAAAAAGTATGAGCTTGTTGAATTTTTTCGAAGCAAGAAAGCAAAAACCGGATCGAAATCAATTTGACGAATACTTAATATCAATTTACTTTTTTTGTCAAGATTGCCAACATGAAGTATATGAAAACAAACGCTTTGCAATATTCGTATCAAAAAACACATGCATGTATAAATTGTTTCGTGTCTACTGAGCTTTGTATTAAATTGTGGAATACGCGGAACTACCGAAACGATCATCTTTTGATAGTAATAAAGGAAGACTGCATAAAGTAGATGGTATAAGTTTGTGTGTTAAACTTCCTCATACTTTCCGTTAAACATGTTGAGGGAAATTTAAATTACGTTATTTCGAAA